GGGTCAATTTTTGGCTCTCATGATTATTGACAAACCATTCAAAAATGTAAAATTTGAAACAGAAATCTAGCTGGCAGGAAGTTTCTTTTCTAGACATTTTCCGAAAACAAAAGTTTGTACAAGAAGTTTACAGTTCACCTTTCTAAGTGAACTTGTTTGAGAATGTAGAACACAAAAGAAGTAGTTTCAGAAGCAGAAGAAGGAAGTTTAATTTCAAGTGATTCGGAACTAGGAAAAATCAGGAACCACATGTACAAATTGGAAATTGGCTGTAATTTCTGAGAAAAAAACATGCATTTGAGGTATTGGCTCATAAAGCGACAAAATGAAAATGCTGTGACAGGGCGATTGAGAATTTTAGCAGGGGGGCAAAACTTCAGCAGGGTCAGCGAAATTATCACTAACCAAAAAAAATCGCTCTGGGAAAAAGTCTCAACTTTATACCAACTCCTGCTAAACCAAACCGCAAATCACTCGTAATGGACATACATGTAAATAACTTCAACCGAAGACTCAGAATCGCATTTCTTATGTGTAACAAATGCCCAAAGAACCATTCGTTCAAGCAAGCATCTACCCGGCATCCAAACACCACATCCAGTACGACACTGGAAGAATACCTGGAAGCCACCAAATTTAAACTCGCTCACATCAGACTCAGAAATCGGCAAAACAACACGACCAAACAAGAACTATCCGCCATAAACTAACTTAAAAACAACCCCAATATCGTAGTTAAACCATACAACAAAGGCACAGGCATATGCATAATGAACATATCGGACTACGTACATGTGGGCTACCACCATCTTGAGTCCGATCACTACACAGAACTGGACCACGACATTACCCCACAAACCATAACAATGGTTCATAATCTACCAATAGAAATGACAACCAACCACTATATCAACAATGATACTCTAAACTAACGTACCTCGATCCACTCAAACAAAAGTGTGAATGCCCAACTATGTATTTTCTCCCCAAAATACACAAACCTCCACCACCAGCTGACCAGGAGAACCATTTGTGGGCCGACCAATCATGAGCGGCTGCACCAGCCCAACAGCAAAAATATCAGAGTTCACTGACTACTTCCTTCTCCCCATAGCCACCGCACAACGTACGTACATGTATGTCCGAGAAACATCAGACATACTACGCAAACTTGAAGGAAGAAGTTTCCCACAAAACATCCCAATTACCAGCATAGATGTTGTTTCCATGTACACAAACATCCGACAAAACGAAGCAATTCAGTGGGTATGCAACACTGGCATCCTTGACACAAAAGTGTACACACAAAAAATGGAAACTTTCCAATACCTCCACAATTCATCATCTCACCCACCCCACATATTCAAGGCGTTCATATATGGAGAAACACTCCATTATGCCAGAAACACAAACAAGGATGATTTCATAACCAAAGTGCAAACATTCAAAAGAAAACTGACCCAAAGAGGATATACCCAAAACGCAAGTGACAAAGCGACCAATAAAGTTACACATGCCGAGAGAACACAACTAATACATAAAACAAAATATGAGAGAATGGAAAAACAAACTCCATTGGTCTTCACCACAATATATAACCCAGCCATCAACCATGGGATCTACATCGAGCAATAAACAAACACTGGTACTTAATTCAGAGCAATGCAACATTACGGGAAACATTCCCTACCCCCCAACTCATTGCTTTCAGAAGACGGCAAAATCCCTGGGAGAAACTAATCCAAGCCAAATTGCCACAGCAAAGGTCCGAACCACTCCCCAAAGACTCTGGCTTCTTCGAAGATTTGAATGACCAGGATGAAACCTTAAACATATTGCTCTCCCCACTAGAGGACAAAACGTCAATGATACAGTGTCAGTAATTAAAATACATGTATATCAGTAATAAAATGGTTCGCTCACACAGACTGATAAGACTGATTTTTTCAAACCACTGATTATACCCAAACCCAAAATTCCCTGAATTATACCTTCAGCGAGTCAGCCATGGTTTGCACCGAACCGAGCCCAGTGCAACTGAAGAGTGCCACCACTATAAGGCACGAAAGCATGCTATTGCTTTTCAAAGAGGATTTGCAAACAGAATCCTCTGCTTGCAATGGTACAATCCATACCACCATTACCATCAACCGTAACTTGTAAGATCCAAACGGGTCTCTCATGCCCACCAAAAATCTAACCAAAGAATTCCTACAGTGGGCATTAAAGGCAGAAACCAATCGAAGCTTAAATATACATGTAAGCCAATAAAGTCAACAGAGAAGAAATGTCTCTGAATGGGAGAGTGCCATCATTTGTCAAACAATCAAACATGCTATTGCTACCAAGAGGATTTGAAAAACAGTCTTCTACTCGCACTACCAGTCAACCGACAATAAACCAAATAATTGGTCATGTTCTTATGTCTGCTCATAATCCAACTCTCGGATATAAAAAGACCAGATTTCACATACTGCAACCAGGAGTTATTGCAAGTCACCAGAGACAAAGTGTCACTGAATGGGAAAAGTACCATCGTCTTTTCACACAAAGTTTAGGTATAGGTTTGAGGAATGCGAGGTAAAAAAAATTGTGACTATAAAAAGAAAAAAAAAGACATTTTAAGGCTACAGAGAAATGACAAAAATTTAAAACGGACAGCTAGTTAAAAAACATATCTGCAAGGCATGGCATCACAGCGTCACAGTTAACAAGGTAAGCAGTATGCGAGCAGTAAGGCGAACTGCAAGGCATGGCATCACG